GGGGCTAGTTACGCTGCGGCAGGAGCAAGGTTATTACTGAATGATGATAAATTCAAATCAGTAGAACTCATTCATTTCTAAACATTTATCTTCTTTGCACTGAGCTTTACATACAAACACATCACTTACCACCCCCTGAGGAACACAAATGGCTTTGACGGTGCCTTGGGGCTTCCTGAGAACATTCTGAATTAATCCAATGTCCACACTCCTGAACAGATCACTGACATCAACTATCTGAGAGAGGCAAAGAGCACACACAAAAATAAGGCAATAATAACAGGGCCCCATGTTGTGGAAATGGTTTTGGCATCCTCCACCTGCTGCCATACCAGCCCCCCTGGATGGCTGAGTTTGCTCTGAGAAACCACAGGGTGTTTATAAAACTCAGAGGGAGCACAGCATTAACAAACTTGTCTATGAGCAGTTACAGAAAGGGAATCCAAGAAAAAAAAAAAAAGCTCTTTGGAGATCTAGTCACCCTGGAAAGAACAGTGTATAGTAATCAAAATGGCGAAGATACATTTTTAAAGTAGGATACTATCCTGGAAACAGCCACATACATTCATTAAACATTTAGGCTGCTCCTTGCCTGGCTCCCATCAGGCCACCTTGCATCAGTGAAAAGTGCAGAAAAGCTTGTACAGTTTCTGAGAATGACTCAGGGACTTCAGTTCCTCAGATTGTTGAGTACTCCTTTCACAAGTGCTAAATCGGCTTTAAAGTAAAAAAATAATGTTCTATGAAGAACCACCAAGACACTGAGCATCAGTTCTTTTCATTGGCAATATGAAAAATACCTGCACATATCACAGATGATGGAAAAGTCACCTTCAGTCATCTAATCCAAGCATAACAAGGATTGTCATCTGTGCTAATATATCATTAGGGCTGAAGTGAGAAAAAGAGCACCTCCCAAAAAGGGACAGGGGAAAACAGGATAGAAGACCCCAAAGCCATACTGCTTCACTGCTTTACCACAACTGGCCAAGCTTCCCACTTTTTAAGGGACCTGCTACAATAATTTCTTGAGCCTTCCAAAACAGTAGAGGTTTTGGCATCAAGAACCCCATCCTTCCACCTGTGTGCAGAATCGAGGTTTGAACACTAACTGTTCAAAAATGTTAAGAGGAAGGAGAAAGCATAGATGCTTCTGAGAAAAGAGAGCTCACCTTCATACCAAAGCGAGTGTCTGGCTTATCAGTCCCATAAGCAGCCAGTGCCTCAGCATAGCTCATGGAAGGAAAAGGGATGGTTATGGGGCTTTTCTCTTCAGGCCAAGAATACTGGAGCAGGCCCTCAATCAGCCTCTGGATCCCAGACTGGTCTACAAATGACATCTCAATATCTATCTTAAAGACAGAAGAAGCAGGACATTACACATCCACAGATACCAGGGAAACTGCATTCTTTTCCATCCACCTACCTCCTCTGAGTACCTAAGGGCTTTGTACAAATAAAGATGATTGATTTCAAAATACTGTATGTACATGAGCAACTGGTGCCTCCTGAGTCTAGCGGGGCACCAGCAGGGCGCAACCGGGGTAGGGCAGGGGGGTGCCCCCCAGTGGCCAGTTGCTGAGAACACTGGCGGCACGACAGCAGAGCCAATTTCAGGGGCAGCACTAGCACTCTCCATGCTCCCCTACCAGCCAGAGCACTCGCTGTCAGGGGGGGCACCAGCACTCTCGGGGGGGCATGTACCACCCCCCCCGTGCCCCCCACGCCCCTCTTACACGTCGCCTATGTGTATGTATATACCACAAGCAGAGAGGTAGTTAGCTGTGTTAGTCTATAAGGACACCTCTGCATTGCCTTCTGTGTATACCATGCCAGCCTTACATAAAGAATGCATCTGTTACCTTGCAGACACAAAATATTGCTCAGTTTATCAGCAATCATCCCCTGCTTAGAAGCTAAATAGCCAGTTAGTGATGCTAAGGACTCTGAGGGAGAGAAGTCACAAGGAAATCCTCAGGAATGAGCAGGACTAACTGGTCTTGTCCAGGTGCCAATGACTGTGAAGAGAGCTGTACTGCCCCAGCAGGAGGGAAGCAAGCCAAACTTTGAGAGCAGCTCAAATGTCACTACTGGGCCTGATGAACATGGTGCCAACATTTCCACCAGCTGAAACTCATCTCTGTGGAAGCTGAATCCCTCCTTTATCCCAGAGCTCAGTAACCACTTATTAGGCATGTGAAATGCATAGCACCAAGCACAAGGCTTGAAGGATTTTCAAGCTGAATGACTAGAAGCAAGCCTCACACCAACTGGATGGGCTGGACCAACAATACATGCAGCTAGCAATACCAATCAAGGCTTCCTAACTTGACCGATACCTTGCTGGTGTCATGACTTCAGGAGAGAAAAGTGATACAAAAGGGAAAAGTTACCTGAGTAAATTCAGGTTGCCTGTCTGGCTTTGAACCTTCATCTCGATAGCAGCGGGCGACCTGAAAGTACCTGCAGTTGAAATTAAAAGCACCCTAAGCTAAACCATGTGTGAAAAATGGATTACACATTCCATTCATGACAGTTCCTGTAAGGACTCCAAACAGGATGAGCAACCATCCAGCAGAGAGTTGATAATGTCAGGTGGGGATTCCATCAAAGGCAGCAGCATCTCAGGGATTCCCTGTCAGTACTATATTTGTTGCCATTTAAAACTGCTCAACTAAAACAAAACTTCTTCCCCTTCAGGTCTCTATGTTATATTGATCTGTGTTGACAAATCAGTGTATTCAGGAACTGACTTTGGACACATTCCTCTTTGTGATGGGCCAGTAGGGGGCGGTGTTGTGCTGAGCTATCCAGCTCACTGCACCCAGCTCAAAACCCCACTTTGAGTGTCTCCCCTGGGGTGCCTACGTCCACTCAGACTCCTTTCCAGAGCCCATCAACAAGCCTGGGGTAATTGGTGCCACCATCCAGGGTCTGGTCTTTGTTAGGGCTTTTTGCCACCCAGGGTACACAGGCCCTGTAGATCTTGGGGGTGCTTTGCTCCCAGCAGGATATATTAGGGGGCTTCTTATAGTCTGAAGCATTAACAGTAGCCTCCTTTAGTCATCTGAGCAAGGGAGCCAAAAGGCTTACCTAATCCCTCTCAAGCAGGTACAGGAAGGCTTGCTATAATGGATAGCTTTATTGATTGGAGAGGGTAAGCATGGGGAGGGGTACAGGTCAGAGAAGTATCCAAAGAAAATCCCTGAGCAAACAGAAGTGGCTTGGTAGCCTTTTGATATGTTTCTACATCACTTCATCCTAAATTATGAGCTAAAATTCAGGTAAGTTACTCACATTTACATCCAGAGTTTGAGCAAGCTCCTTCTCTGGAGGCTATATGGCTCGTTTTCTGTGTTCCAAAACATGTCTGCTCCTCTTCCTCAATGAGGGACCCTTTATACATCTGTCATGACCTCATCACTAAGTTCCAACCAGAAGCAGACCTACTGGCTGCTGACCGGTGCTTCCAAAAGACATCAGCCCTACCAGGTGAGATGACCAGTAACATGACCTGTGGTTGCAAGAACCTGAGACAGTGGAGAAGCAGGTTCCTCCTCCCATTGGAATTTTTACAGCCTAGCCAGTCACAGAGGCAGGTAACACAAGAAGTGGGTTGGGCTGTCTGCTTACAATAGTGAGGCAGACTGGGGGGTGATTTCTCCACACTCTCAACTGGTCTTCAGCCAGTCAGACCTTAAGTTCTGGAGCAGTAAGGAGATACCTCAGAAACACTTCCTGATTTTATTGCAGACATGTTCAAAGGTTTTGCATGAATAAACTGTGACCATGTCTTATCCAGTTCAATCGCACACTGTGGTCTTAATTCATCTCAGTAGGAGTTAAGCCATGTAGGTCAGTGCAAGAGAGGAATTCACCATGCTTTCCCTTTTCTGCTTCTCAGATTTTCCCATCTCCAAAACGTCTTTGTGCATTTATGTTCAGAATCATGATAATATGGAAAATTTTCACATAGTTTTGAAAATTTCATATGCATATAGGGGATTTGGACACACAGCTCCTTAGTCCAGTGGGATTCTTGTGCCTAAATGTCCCTAGATCAATGATGTCTGAACTTCTTGGCCTGTGGGCTGGATGAGCAGTGCCAGGTCTGTCTGTGATCTGGTCTGTGGACCTGATCCAATGTGTGGTACTGGCCCAGCTAGGGCCCATGCAGCCATGTGGGAACAGCTCACCCAAGGCCTGATGCACCCAGGTGGGAATGGGCTGCCTGGGACTCATTCCCATATGGCTGCACTGGACCCTGGCCAAGCCACTTCCAAGTGGCTGCACTGGGCCCTGGCTTAATCCAGCCATATGGGAACAGGGCCTTATCCCTCTGTGGGGGGCTAGCCTGGCCAGGGCCAGTCTAGCTGGGTGGGACTTTGAAATCTGGCAGCATGGGAGCAATGGTAGTGTTAACTGCTACCACTCCCCCACTGCCAAATTTCCAGACCCATGGGCTGGATTACGGGGCTCTGCAGGCTGGATCTTACCTGTGGGCTGGGAGTCGAGCGCCAGTTAGAAGTCACAGTGAATGATGATAAGACTTTAAGATCCCCCCACTTGAGGTCACTTCAGCTGCAAAACCATTTGCTCTAAGTTTCTGAACAAACATTGAAATCTTTGCCCCCACCCCCCCCAAAAATAAATAAATAAAATAAAATAGGGAACAGACCTCTGAGGTCCTTATTTTATAAAAAAGGAGCACTCACCTGTCCAGACCTCCAATCATGAGCAGCTGTTTAAACTGTTGAGGACTCTGAGGCAGAGAGTAGAATTTCCCAGGCTCCCTGGAGGGTACCAGGAACTCTTTCGCACCCTAGTATCAAAGATGGAATAAGAGAGGAGAGACTTCTTAATACAGCATATAGCTGACATTTTGTATCTTGCCACATGAGAAGGTTGAGGCAAAATAACTTCATAAATTTCAAGAGAGGACTGGACACACAGGGACCCAATTCAAAGCCTACTGAAGTTGATGATTGATTTTCCAAACTTCAAAAAGCTTTGAATGAGACCCACAGGAACAGGATGAGCACCTCTATGAGAATTAGGAACAGTGTATAAAACCTCACATTAACTAAGCATAAGATGATCATGAGGCAGAGCTTGGAAGCCATCTCTTCCTATGGCACAGAAATGCAGACTTATGCAAATGCAGCGTGTCAGGGGATTTTACAGGATGTTTTATTTCATTAAAAGATTTGATTATTTTTATTCTTACTTTAGGGCATGGGTACATGAACAACTTATCAGAGTGGGGCCTTTCTGCCCATTGGCTGCTCCATGGTTACTGTCAGTGCACATGTTATTAAATCACAATTGATGAAAGCTAAGTAACAATAACTCAGGCCTCAATAAAATAGGTTTAAGATGCTGCAGCTTAACTTTCATTAGAGATTTGATTCTATTTCAAGTACTGTAGTTTATTTTTGGAGTATTACAAATGCCAATGACATAAATGAAGCATGAATGGCAAATTCTTTGTTTTCCCTTTCTTTTGGTTAATGGCTGTACGGTTCTCATCTCTCTGACCTCAACAGAAAACCAGGAAAAAAGCTAATGCATATAGTTGCATCAAAGGTACTCTTGGTGATTCCCAAGGTATCAAAGCCTGAAGAGCCCAGTTAGCTAAGCCTTGCTGGGAAGATGGATGAGGCAGGTTGGTCAATGTGCACTTGAGGCACAGAAACTGGGTTAAATGAATATGAACATCAGAAGACATCTGTCATTAATAACTACTTGGAAAATAATACTGGACCAGATGGACCATTGGCCTGACCTACTCTGCAAATGCAGAGTCGCTGCATCTAAGCTCTAAATAGCTTTCCTGTTTATAATAGAAATGGATTAATTTTAAAACAAGAAATACTATTTTTGGAATGGGATTGCAGGAGTGGGGGTAGGGACGGGGAAGAAAAGGTTCCCCAGTCTCTCCAAAGGGGAGGAAGAAATGTTTTTCCAGAAAACAGGGAAGAAAAATACTACACAACTTCAAGGTGCTGCTCTCTTTGCAAACAACTACTCAAACACACTACACCTTTATGTTTTTGCAGCTTTATCACCTAGAAATCCCTTTTAGCAAAGACATCTGAGACCCAGATCTCTCCAAACAGTCCTGCCAGGTTACTGTATTTTTTAAGTGATGATGGACCATGTTCAGAGGTGACATCCCTAGAGGTGTAAGTTTCTCTTTACATAAGTTACCCACTAAATGGTTGGAGAGGTAGGCTGTGGCAGGGTAGGATAAAAGACAGAAGAGCTTACCAGCCCACTTTACCTTTCAGCATATTGCTACCTCCTATTAGTTTGCAGCTATGGCTTAGGCTTTCTATACATGTCCCAGCAGGTGAGTTACATACAACATACCAACATGAACTTTCACCACCCTGCAAATCCCCTCTGACTCTGACTTAGGTAGCAGACTCTAGGAGAGGAATGTTGGGTGCATCACTCTTCTGCCCTCAGTTGTACAGTGCAGAGGTGACAAGCAAGAAGAATGCTTGTGGCAAGCTGCCTGTCCCCCATGGCAGATCTAAGCAGAAAGTCAGTCCAGGATTTCTTCAGCTGACCTGACTTCAGATGCAGGAACTAGCTATAAATAATGGTTGAAAAGGGGTGGGCAGGTAGCTTTTGCAACAGCTAGTGAAAAGAAATTAATCATCACTCTTGCAACTGGAGTCAGTCCTGCTGGTCTGGCCGTTAGTACACTGCACTGCCACATATAAAGTGTAGGTGTGAATCTCAGTTACGCTATCAGGTTCCACAGGCCATCAGGGCCTGGCAGCAGCAACTTGGTTAGTGCCATGGGGATGTGTCACGGGGCGGGGTCCCAGGAGTGGCTGTGATCTCTCCTAGCGCTCCCTACCGTGCCAAGTGGGTGTCCATGCACCCTCGTTCTTGCCCACCACATCTTTGGTGACAAAAGTATTAAGGGAGGCTGCCTTTTGCCCCCTTGGACACGGTACCCCTGATGTATCCCAGTTTGTGTTCTGTCTTAGCGGACCCCGTGAATTAAAGCCTCAAGGGCTACGCATGGCTCCTACCACCCCTAATACCACGCCCCAAGCCTCTCAGATGTACCGGACATTGTCTTGTCAAAATCCCTTGCCACGCCCTCATGGCACCCCCTTGCTTGCCTACTATTGCCCGCGCCCTTGCAGACACTCTATGGGCTCATCTCAATCGCCCACCCTGGGGCCTTTCTCTGTGCTCCCCGCAGACGCTCTCCGGCCTTTGTTGCGGCCGCGCCCTCACCGGGGCTCTCTCTCTCTCTCTCCCAGTTCTGCCCGCACTGGGGGCCCTGCCTCACGATCAGGGCTCAGGTGGCCGTAGCCGTGCCTGGCCCCGACCTCCTTCTCGGGTCTTACACCCCACTGGGGCTTCCCACAATCGAGGCTCAGGTGGCTGTAGCCATGCCTGGCCCCCAAATTCCCCTCTTGGGGCCCCTATTCCCATGCGCCCGCCCTCCCTGGGGCCCCTATTCCCATGCGCCCACCCTCCCTGGGGCCCCTATTCCCATGCGCCCGCCCTCCCTGGGGCCTTTTCCGCACTTGGGGCTCAGGTGGCCTTAGCCGTGCCTGGCCCCTAAATCCACTCCTTGGGTCAACGATTCCTGTGGGGCTCAGGCAGCCTCAACTTTACCTGGCCCCCAATGCACTGTGCCCCTTCTCAGGGCTCTGGGGTCAGTGCACCCCTAGATGCAGTGTCCTCTCTGGCACCGGGGTCCCCACACCGCTGTGGAGCCCCTAATGAGGCCTCCTCCAACCCCTATTAGCCTCACCCAGTCCTCCGGTGTAACAACAAAGCAATATCATAAGCCAATTGGCTACAACTCAAGAACTAAGCCACCTGGCTAAACGCAAACTCTAAGCCCTCTGGCTACTCAATCAAATCCCCTACCCAGGCTTTCTCCTCCTAATATCCTCAAGCCAAAGCTGTTCAGGCCATCAAGCTGTTCTAGGCTGCACCCTCCAGCAGAGCTCCTTCTCCCTGGGATGTTAGTGGGGAACTGCCTGCTTGGCCTCAGCCTGGGCTGTTTATATAGGCCAGGCCCTGCCCCCTTCCGCTCAGCTGACCACTGTGGTTGCCCTGGCAACCGGCACCTGTACCTTTCCCTAGGAGCAGGGCACTTCAGTGCACTGTGACAGGATGAAATACCTGGCATTTTCTCCAGCAAAACTTCTGGAAAGCTACTGAGTAGGCTATGAAATTATTTCTGTGCTCTACTGGAAGAAGGGAGACTGAGGTACTGTCATGAAGGATGACTTAACAATGGTAACAAACTGAGAAGAGTTGGGGAAAACTGTGCACTGAAAACTCTTCAAGGGGCTTCTTTGCAAAAAGGAAAAGGTATACAAGCTCAATACACAAATGCACTAGTTTCCTAATTTGGGAGCCCATCCTTTCCTTCTTTTTCATGTAGTTCAATAACATGGCATTCCCCGTGCCAGGAACAGAACAGCTAAAATTGTCAAGGCCATTTTAGCACTATTAAAGATAATCAGGCAGGGCAAGGATGCTGGTTAAAGAAAATGGTCATAACTTCAGGTTGTTTTCAGAATTCTCTAGTCACTATGGTCAACTAGCTAAAATCCATAGGACCTGGAGGTCAATGGGGGTCTTTCCATTTGCTTCAGTGAGTTGTGGAACAGAACCTCATAGTGGCTTGATCCCACTTCTATTTCACCAAAGGAAGGTGCTTTAACTGTTGAACTCTGTGCAACTGCAGAGCCAGATCCAGTACCAACAGTGTAGCTTCTGCCCTGGAGATATTCATGGAAGGCCCACTTATTCCAAAAGAACTCTTGTAGTCAGGCACAGACTTATTATAGTGCAGAATCTGGATGAATGTTTGTAACTATCTCCACACATGGTAACGTCAGCATACATTGCTACCTTCAGACAACAACTACTCTAAAGGATTAATTTTAATCCACAGGTTTATAAAGATAAAAAACCTAAACAGCATACTCCAGAAATGAGAAGAAAAAAGACATGCATTCATCCTGTTGAACTCCCTCACATATGACTTTACTGTTCCCAACAGTATATATGAGTTAGCTGTATCCCATTTAGTTTTAAAAATTACAAAAGTTGGGGTTCTCCGTTATCTGCTTTCAGAGATCCACAAAAAATGCTACCCCACTATACTTATATGGGCCTTCTTAAATCAATAAGATTACTGTATATCAGTTAAGTATATGGCATAGCCCACTTTCATCAATTCCTGTGCAATTGCTCTCTATTGTATACAGTAATTAGCTTGCAAAATACAAACCCAGAATACAAGACTTGAAAATAAACACTTTCAAATGGGGATACCATGGTGATGTACCAGCTCAGAGATGCATGAGGACAGAATGAAATACCTGAAGGAATGGGTTTTTGTGGAATCTGGTCCTCCAAAGATGCTCCATACTCAGCAAAACACATTGCTTTGCAAGAAAGCAGCCTTGGGGGTGGGGGGAGGTTTGATACCAGAAGATTCCCAGTCCTTGCCCAAGACACAGCCTCATGGCTCTAAAGGATCCATTTGATGGATAAGAAGTTGACAGGTAAACAGGTAAGTAGTAACATAACTACAAATAAAGGCAGAGTGGCAGACTAGGATAATAAGTAAATAAGTGATCTGTGTAACCACAGCAGGCCAAAATAACTAGCAGCATACATACCCCTGGGGTTCTCTTAAATAGTGTTGGAGTCTCAACATCCACAAACCCTAAGAAACAAAACATGCTTCAAAAATTAAATAATCAGAGTAGGGGGATGGCATGGTTTGGAACAAGTTGGCTACAGTCAGTACCTCGTCATCTTGAGAGGTGAGGCACAACCTGAAGCTACTCAGCAACCAGCAGACTCATCTAATTCTTTTTAAGACAATTAAGAACTATTTGTGAAGTTACAGTCTGATCCTGAGAGGTGATAAGCACCCACAAATCTCATCTGGACTTGGAGTCTCCAGTTCCCCCTATAAGCTAAAAAGCCTCTTATTAAGCTAACTAAACACTTTAAAATGACCATCAATTTTAAGATGAATGCAGGCCCTTTGAAAAACGGGCCCTTTAATATGCCTGAAGTTAGGCGGCCAGATAATAAGGCATCCAGGATTCACCAACCTCCTGTTAAAATCTTCCCCTTTACTGTATACAGCTCATTCAAAAGTGATCACCTGTGATCGGATAAGGGACTAACTGCTATTGTGCCCTTGAAATATAGCAGCATCCCACTGTAGTCACCACTGAAAGATAGCAAGTCACCATATGAGGGGCCACATTGGGGCTGCACTTGCCTAATGTTCCAACCCATGGTAAGTTTTACAGCAGTAAAGCATGGAAGCAAAAGGAAAAGGAAAAATCCTGAGAATCTGGTACTGTTTTTAGTATTTCTCTTACCATGGAGGTTGCAGAGGTATTCCCGCATTCTCATCACCATCTGGGATCTGAGTCGCAGATTGTACTGCATCTGGGAACTGCGTAAGTCCAAGTAACGATACTGCATACGCAAAGCCTCAGATTTCTAAAGAGAAGAGAAGAAAGACTTCAAAAAGCAAAATTAAAACCATGCCCACAACAGCTTCTGAAACTACACTGGAAGGCAAAATGGTAATGAAGGACAACGCATTATTGGGTGTCACTTTTATATATATGCAGGAATGTGTGTGTGCAGTTTGCCCCAAACTGAAGGTTCTTTAATAAAAGCTTTCTGGTCTAAACTCTGTATTCCAAATCCTTGCTTTTCTCTGTGCAGGAACAGATCATAACAATCCTCCTTTGAATTTACGGGGCACTTTTCATTCACATATCTCAAACAACTTAAGCAAGCATGATCATACCTATTTTACAGAGGAAGAAACCTAAGGTACAAGAAGTTATGCTTATACTGATGAAACTTATGCAGGATCACACATTCATGCAGAGCTTAGCTCTCTTCAGTCTTGGTCCTCACCACTATGCAGTGGACCATATTTTATCAGGGCACTTAATCTGTGATGGAAGACCTCTACCATGAGACCTGAAAGACCTGACCTTCAACGTGACTGATCTGATTGAAACAGCAGGTAAACCCTCCTGCTACCTGACTGTATATATGGGTAACGTTAACTCCCCTATCTTAAATATACTCAGTACTTTTAACATGTTTTGCATTGCAAATTACAAGAAACTGATGTTGGCTCCATATTTCCACCTCCATTACTATCAATATATATTTGAACCAATGCACCAAGACAAATTATGCCTTGCATTTCACCCTACTATTATCAGACTTTAGGTCTCAGAGCTCACTTTAAGAATGTTCTGCTGTCAATGACCACCTTTCCCCATTCAAAGGAAATTGTATGGGTTAGAAAAAAACACCCTCTGTTGTCTCATGACAAGAGGGTGGCAGACACCTTGGTGAACTCTTTAATTTCAAATGGTAGCTTCTTGCAGGAGTTTAGGATTTCGGCAGTCTTCACCTTCACTTCAATGTCTCCTGTCGGTATTCTCTAAAACAAAGAGAAAAAAAATTTAATTCCCCTGAAAAATACTTGGATGGGTTTATTTTTGGGTCACAGATTTTCAGGCCAAATTGGACCCTGTGTTTATTTAAATGTGGCCTCTTGCACACCAGAGGGCAGAGAATTTCCCCCAGTGACAGTCTTCACTTAGCTTCTGTCAGTATACAGATCACAGTCAGTTACTCTCAGTGTAGGACCTGCTGGGTATTGCTCTCCTTCAGCAGCATATCCATCCCTATATCAAAATAAAACTGTTGCTTGCCTATAATGTGCTCTTTCCCTATGATGTACCCAATGTCAGGCACAATCAAAGCTTTGACCTTTAATATGAAGGAGAGCGATGATTCAATTTATTGTACGCATTACAATGCTTAGGAGCTTGAAGGGTTACACCAATTCTGAAGAATAGAGTTCCCACTTGAATTCTAGAATGGACCCTTTCCTGCACCTATCATCTCTATAACAATCACGCCCCTTATACTGTTTCTTCCCAACTTTCAGGATAGACTAGAACACCCTCTATTACCAATGCATTTCTAAGACCATTGCATACTTTAAAAAAGGTGTAAAGTCTAACACTGTCTTCTCTGTGATATGTCCAAGTATCAGGGAGCCTAGTCAGAATCCTGGCTTCTATTCTCAGGTCTCCCACTAATTAAACATATATCATCTTGAAACTGTCACCTACAGCTGCCATTTCCAAGAGCTGCGCATGCACACTGCTTCTTAAAAGAACAGGCTTTCAAAACTCTGTGCTTCTATAGAACAAGAATAATAGAATTTACTTGGGCAGGCATTATTAATAAAAGATCAATATGTATTGCAGAATGCTCTACACTAATTTTTATTCTTACAGGTGTTAAATGCCAGGTTCTTAACAACGTCCACTGTCTCTCAAATGGGTGGTGGTGGGGACTTAATTTATGAATTTTTGTAAAGTGCATTGAGGTGCCTATAACAGCCATCATTTCTCTCATTTCTTTCAAATCATGCAGGATGAACTATCATACCTTAAGAAAACAAGGTGGCCAGGGATAAACCCATGCCACAGAGCATGCAGTGAACTCCACTTGCCAGAAAACACTGGTAAATTCAATACACTTCCCAGAAGTACAACACTCAAAGAAAACCCCCACAAAGTTTCCAAAGTACTCACTGGGTTCTTTTGCTCTGGAGGCCGGAAGCAGACTGTTCCGGTCACTCTTAAAACAGACTCCATAGGGACATTGCATAAGATGCTGTTTACATGGGAATATGCCTGTAGAAGGGGAAAAATTTACTGAAATGTCATGGAAATTCAAGTCACCCTGCAGAGGTGTCACTGTCATATGCTTTTTCTGTTTTCCTAATGGCCCCTTCTCACACTAGATAGATTCTTTATGGGACACTTGTAATGGCAATACTCGCATTGCAATAGTATCTAAGAGCCCCAGTAACGGACTTGACTACAATGTGTTAGGCTTAGCAAGAACACCTGGAAGAAGATGGTCCTTGCAAGCCACCTTTTAAGAAGCTTAACATTTAGCAACTCCTCATTCAGAGCACACTTTGGTTCCGCCAAAAGAGTGCCAGCTGGGTCCTGATCTCAGCTGTGAATTTTCGTCATTACAATTCTGTAGGTGTGCTTTAGGGATCCCCAAAGTTTGCCCAATTGACAGCTGCACTGGCAATCCACCCAGGGACTGATGGCCACAGCTAATGCTGACAAATTTGAACAAACTGCAAGTACCCTTATGCGCTACACAAACTCAATCTGACAAGGCAGGACAGCTTATTCTGCCCATGACATCATGTGGACAAGCTGTCAAAATGGAAAAGCTACACTCTTTCCTTCATTATCCCTTACCTCATCCTGTGGAATGATGAGCTGGGTCAGGCCCTGGAAGTCCCTCAGAATCAAAAACAGGTTCTGCCTGATCCATAATAAAAATAAAAAAAAGAAAAGAGTTGTTTCTCTGAGAATGTAACCTTTTCCAGATTTCTAAGCTGAAACCCACGTTCCTAGTTTGCACTGTCTTAAGGTTGCAATTTTAATCTCAGAGCACTTTAAAAACTACACATGTACAATACAGACAGAGTCGTCCTACGGGGTGGGGAAATTGGGGTGACTGTCCCCGGTCCTGCGCTTTGGGGGGTCCTGTGGACAGCCATTGGCATGTGCTGTGGGCACCACCACTCCATGTGGCTGCTGCATGCCACCGGCTTCACGCTTCAGCTGCTCACCACCCCCCACCTTCCACCTGCACAGGCCCTGCACACCCCTAGGACTGGCTTTCACTACAGATATTCCCTGACTCATATTTGGAACAAATATCTTTAATTCATACCAGATTCAGGCACTCAGTGAAATTTTAAAACAAAAGCTGCATCAGAACTTGAATTATTGAACATTAAATCCATGGAGAATAAGAGTTTTTGAAGAATTGATGTGACATTCATAAAGTGCTCACTGCTGAACACACACATTAGCTGACAAAGTCTGTCTAAGCAAGAAAACAAAAGTTCATAGAGATGAGACAAATTTAAAATAAAAAGCACTGACATTAATCTTCTCATCAGAAGCTTTTACCTGGGTCATCCACATGTCAAGCTGATGCTACAAATCTGTAATAAAATCTCAGTTTCCTCTGCTTCAGGAAACAGAACTATCAGTCTAATTGACTGAGCAGTATATCACCAGATGAAATACATTATGGCCCTACAGAATGGCAAGAGCACAATAACTTGTTGCTATAATCATAAAAATGTTTATTGGAGCTCTACCCAGCACTGTTCCAAGACAAAGTGTACGGTTCTGCCAATAAATTCTACCTCGAATATCACTGCAGAATTCTGGGAGATAAAGAGCAAAGAGTCATTATAAACTGCAAAAGGGTCAAATTCTGAGATTCTGATCTCAGTTCCACTGGTGTAACTCAACTAAAACAATACGAGAGAAAGGTAGTTAGAGGTGTTAGCCTTAAGTAAGGCAGAAGGCAGGGTAGATATGCACCTTTTAGGCTAGGTGAATTAGAGATGCATAAGCTTTCGTGAGTCAGAGCTCATTTCAGAAGTGACATACTATGAAATAACTTGCACAAAGTAGGCTATGAAATACAGAAATCATACGACTTACTTCCAAGTCTGCTTACATGTACCTAACAGGCAGAATTAGAATCTGGCCCAGTATGACCATAATTAAATCAGAGTACTGTCTACTCCATGAAGATTACTGATTACTGTATTTTCTTGCACACAACACAGACCTCTTCCCCCAAAAAACAGCTGCTTAAAATTTGGGTGCACATTATAAGCAAGGAAATATGGTAGTATTTACTTATATAATATTCCATATTATGGAAATACGGTTTCTGCCAGGTAAAAGCAAAAGCAACTCTGTACTTGATCCACAGGGATGAAAGCAAGGACCAGGTTAGGTTGCCGAGCTGCTGCTACTCAGTTACTTACTATAAGGAAAGATGTTTTTGAAGAGCAGAATGAAGACAAAAAAGAATGTGCACGTCTTATTTCAGGGTATATTATATGTAAGAAAATATGGTATTCACAAAACATAATCATAGGAGCTACACTACAAATATTAACACAACATACCATGAACTCATTTCTTAAACAGCTTGAATTAACACTATAATTAGCACTTGCTAATTCATTTATTAATCTATCAATAATAATGCGTATATATTCTCAACATGCATCATTAAGTACTGTAGTAAAAAAGGCACGCACAAACAACATGATCCTTGCTTCATAGGAGTAATTTAAACCTAGACAATTTGTTTGAAAATATAGTTGAATACAAATATTTAACAGCTGCTGCAAACGCACTGATTTAGTTTCTTCGTTTGTAAGATGGGAACAGTAATTTAATTACCTTGTAGGGTTGTTGTAAAGATTAATTAATGTTAGCACATACCATCAAAGAAATTAAAGTATTTGCAAGTGTAAACTATTGTCTTAATTTTAAAAAAAATAGTCTAATCACAATGCCACAATGAACTTTACAATACTACTATCATTTCTGACTATTCAACACTGGGATATTGTTGGGATGTTTGCTACAGAATACCTTTAATAGTAGACAAGTTATATTAAATATTCAAATAAAGCTACTTATTCTATTTAATATTTGGGAGAATCCCCCCAAAAATTCATTCGTCATTTTTCCAGTTGTAATGCAGCTGTCTTGGGACAGTGGATAATAGCATACAGTAATATTATTCAAAAGTTTATAACAGAAAGCAAAGAATAAAATATACAGCACAACAGGAAGTGGATATTTAAGCTGGGGCAAGTTATTACCCAAAAGGGAGCTTGGTCAGGACACCAGGGTTAACAGTGTTTGAAGAATGTCCCAGGGAATCTTTAAAAGAGGTGAAATCAGGACCTTGGCTTTAGATCTTATCTGTATGACAGCACCTCCAGCAACACACTAATTAGTCTAACAACACAGTATCCAACATATAGCGCTATTCACTAACAAGAAAGGCACCCTACGCAAGGGATATTCCTAGCAAGGTGCTTTGTCCAATCTTGGTAGCATAGGAAGCTAAGGAGTAGTATAAAACAATACTGGCATAACAAGAACCAGGCTATAGGGGTTGAATTGGCTCTGGCATTCTAGCTTCTTTTTTGTCCACTCAATTTGCATTTACCTTTGGTACTGAACCCATCCACACAAGGTGACATCTTGGCCCACATGAGCAGAACGCAGCTCTCCACAAGTGTTGGTCCGAGCAGCAAAGCTATTGAAATCTTGGGGTAGGGGGGAAAAAGCCACAGAAGGTTTTAGGGGCACACAAGTGCTAATGTGATGCTAAAGGAGCTTCAATGCACATGACAGACACAGAGAAAGAGGTCACTTCACCCACCATCCTGGAAACCAGCAGGATGTGGGAACACTGCAAACTGTTTCAGGAAAGGAAGCAAAAAAATTCTAGATATCCAAACAAAACCACAAGGAGGCAGAAGCCAGTTACCCAAATGAAATATAGCTCTTTAGAAGTATCAGTATGTCTTTAAGCATCTCAAGACTGATATGCCACATCAAGAAACAAACATACACTGACTCTGGAAGTCTGAGTCCATGTTATGCTTATACTGCAAGTAAAAGGGGTGTGATTCTCTAACCCTAACTCCACTTTGGTGCTCTCTGATGACAACAAACATTTCAGTATAACCTGCCACAGTTGTAAATTTCTGCTCAAGAAATGCCCAGAGCAAAAGCAGAGGAGGATGCTTCAAGTCAGCCTTAAAGCACACTGGCAGATCTGTGTTGGCAGCAGTAGTACTAGGTCTAACTTGAAACATATTGGCAAAATTGTATAATGGAAGTCTGAATAATCCCAATCTTCCCTGAAGGTTTAATAAAGAGCTTGACCTAAAAATAGGGGTGGGCAAAATATGGCTCATGGGCCAGATCTGGCCCACAAAGTGATTTTCTCCCATCCACAGAGGGTCCCTTGGCTCTGCGCAGCCCAGGCACAGGGGGCAGTCTGGGACCATGGCGGGAGTGGCTGATCCCCTTACCCCAGGTGCTGTGGTGCCACTTGGTGCAGCCTGCCCTGTCCCCAGGCCTGGCTCTTGGGCACACTGGGAGCTGTAGTCAGCAGGACAAGGGCAGCATGGTGGCTGGACTCAGCTTTCCGGCATCCTCACTGCCCCCATCCACACCACTGCCAGACCCAGCCCTGTTGCCCAGGCACATCCGCCACACACCCACTGCCGGAGGTGCCAAATGGAGCAGGTGGATGGGCAGGGGTGGAGACAGTCCCATGACCCCGACAGGCAGATGGGATGGGGTCATGGGCAGGCAGGAAGCAGCACCTGGGAGCAGGATGGGTGGGTGGGGCCAGGGCCAGGATTGCAGAGCAGTGACAGGGCGGGGCAAGGGCCCAGGGCAGAGCCATGATCTGCTTCCTGCATGTCCCTGTCCACGATCCCAGCTCTGCGCTGTCACTGCCCTGTGATCCCAACCCTGACCCCAACCCCAACCCCAACCCCAGCCACACCCATCCCATGCCTGGACACCAATCTTCACCTGCCCACTGCCCCATCCCATCTGCCAAGGCTGTGTGCACCCTGCCTGCAGGGTTCCTGGGCTGGTCTCCATGGAGACCCCACTCCCACCTGACACCCCCACCAAGGGGTGCAGGTTAGACGGGCTCGATAGGACCCCCTGCGGTCAGCACCATCCCCTCCTGCAATGGCTCACTGAAACTTCTTAAGTGGCCCTCCAGCCCAAATAATTGCCCAACCCTGCCTAAAACCCATTCAGTTAAAGGAATAGGCTTTGGATCAGCGTCTTATATATTTAAAACTGGACAGTCTCCACTCCTAAAGCATTTATAGAATGATTTTGAGTTTCAGTTCACAGCATTCACTGGTAAGATTAAAGAAAGTCTATCAATTTAATCACATTGCTGCCAGAAAATAGTTTACTTATAAAGCCCTGAAGGTTATATTGCAAAGAAGTCTTGCAGGGGACTTATACCAGGCAGAGTCAATTTCCCATTTGTCTAGGACAGGGCTTCCTAAACTTTTTGCCAATCATCAACATTTCTTGAAAATCACCAGGCAAGCTTAGAACTGAAAATGATAGAGGAAGGGGAGTATATTTTATGGCCTCAGACCACAGTTTGTGAACCCCTGATCTAGGTCTTTCACTGCAGGGAAAGGGAGAACTTTCAAAGCCCAATTTGATACATCACAGAAATTTGTTTATTTGGTTTGACTAGGCTTTGCTCATTATCCACATGAAGACAAATGTAAATAGTAACCAGGATAAGTCAGTTAAGGTCTCATTTAAAGTTTATCTATTTAAAATCTAGAGGGAAGGTGTAATATATCTCAAGTATCCCTTTAATTTTCTATCTGGCTTACCATGGCATGAAACTGTGTCACCCAGAATAAAGAAAGGTTTTTGTCAATTTAGCCAATGAAAATACAGTAGAGAGCAAACCTGTGCCCAGCCCTGCTTACCTGGCACACTCTTCTCTGAATGAAGTGCAAAACTGTTGGAAATAGATCTCCACCAGGGCCTGTTTAGTCTTCTAGAGAACAAAGAGAGCTCCCTGTGTAGCAGGCGCAGCATGTGGTGAAAGGACATCGTATATACCGAAAGAACTGAACTGGAAATAGAACGGCAGCATTAAGAAAGAAACATGAAAATGATTTTATTCTCCTCTCTCAACCTTTATTCTTTAGTCAGCATATATGCCAAGTTTTCTTTTGATTGGCAGGCTGCCCCACCTACTGAAATGAGCCTCATAGTCTTGTGGGAAGGATACTGCTCTGGGACCATGACTACATTTTCTGCTCTGCTGTCGTCCTGTTCTGTGACCTTGAGCAAGTCACGTAATCTCTCTGTATCTCCATTTTTCCTCCCAACCTTTAGCTATTTAGCTTGCAAAATCTCCCAGGAAAGGACTGTACCTCACCATTTGTACATAAAATAGTAACCTGAAGACATGATCCTGGGTGGGGCTTCTAAGCATTACTATTGTGTAAATAATAATGATGCAAACCAACTCCACTTTTTTCCCCCCACTTTATCATATATGTTAGATCCTCTCATGCATAAAATGTTGTTCTAATGTCTTCCATAAGAGCACAGGTTTTCAAACCTGTCTGTGGAGCACTTGTTGGGGGTCTGTGGAAAACCAGCATAGTTTACGTAGTGCTAGCTCCACCTTCTTGCTTCTAATTACTTCCTGGAGTGACTGTACAGCTTTTAAGCCATTATGACTATTATCAGAGCATACAGAAACCGTACTTGGGATATAATTAAGGCACTATAAAAAAGTGTGTCTACATATGCCCTACAGCAGCTTAGGCCAGGGGCTAAAATACTTAGATCTTGCCTATACACACATTTCCCCTGTGCATTTCTAAACTAATTTAGTTAAATTCAATTTAATTTGCTTCTTGACTATAATTTCAAGTCAAGTGTTCCATTTTGATGTAATTTAAGTCCATTTGTTTCAACTTAAATAGAGTGCTATTTATCTGACACAAGAGTATCGATGCACAGACTTACACAGAAATAACTGAAGGTGTGATTTTAAACTGTTTTAAGTCCGGTTTGCACTCTAAAAGTGTCACTGGCATAACTGTAGCAATAAGCAATGCATTTTTTAACCAATATAGCAATGGTAGTAAAAACTTTTTTAGTTATACCAGCATAACAGGCTTTATGCCAACCTAGTACCCCCTTACAACTACAAGTGCACTTGAGGAGAGGCTGAGAGAACTGGGTTTATTTAGTTTGAAGAAGAAAAGACTGAGAGGGGATTTGATAGCAGCCTTTAACTCCCTGAAGGATGGTTCCAAGGAGGATGGAGCTGGACTGTTCTCAGTGGTGAAAGATGACAGAACAAGGTGCAATGGGCTCAAGTCTATGAAATTTATGAAAGTTGCAGCAAGGGAGGTTTAGGTTTGATATTAGGAAAACACTTGCTCACTAGGAGGTGGTGAAGCCCTGGAACAGGTTACTTAGAGAGGTGGTAGGATCTCCATTTTTGAAGGTTTTTAAGACCCAGCTCAACAAAGCCCTGGCTGGGATGATCTAGTTGGGGATGGTCCTGCCATGCAGGGGGTTGGCTAGATGACCTCTTGGGGTTCCTGCCAGCCCTCATTTTCTGTGATTCTACAGAGGATGAGTTTGCCACTTTAACTGTCCTGACAGGTTAAACTGGCAATGCTGTTAAGTGCTGACAAGCCCTTTGTTAGTAGTTATCAACATTTTCTAGACTCAAGGCACCCCTGGATAGACTTGAGGCCGTCTTAGGAAATGCCAGATTTTGGCTTTCACTCTTTTTTTGGAGCACAGAAAATTTAACAGAGCAGTTCCTGTTGCTGAGCACTCAGCAGCCCATGACTCTGGACTCCTATCTGAAACCTCTGGGTGGATCACCTGGTTCACCTTGGCCCGCCTACCACTGCTGACACGGCTTGGCCCCCTGCGGCACCCCGGAGAGGCTCTCCTGGCACCCTGGGCTGCTGTGGGTGCTGGTGACAAATTGCAGCCTTGGTCTGGGTCCCAGCCGGAGCGCGAGACAAGCCCTTCGCTGGGTGGTTTTCAACCGGGAGGCGCTAGAGACCCTCCTCGGGGCTGTGCTGTGCTGGCACGGAGTCCCGCTTGCACAGCAGCCGGCGAAGTCAACCTGGAGAGTTCAAATAGGATCCCACGGGGTTAGTAACGTTCTGAGCACGTGCGAGCAGCCGCTGCCTTACTGCAGTGCTTTCAGATAATACTAATAATGTAGTTATTAAGACGCCTCGCCCCCCCTCCGCCCTGTGGGGTGAGGGGAAGCGTCGCAAACCGCCCCTCCCCCTGCCGGCGCGGGACAACCCCGAGCTACCGTAGCGCGCCATACGAACCCCGCACTCGCTGCACTGCGCCAATTGCTGCTTTTTTTTTTTTTTTTTTTT